CACCTCCCCACCGGACTAAAAGCATCAATTCACCTGAGTGGCAATGACAGTGCAGGTGTCAGAGTTATGGTTACATCTGGAAAACTTTGTCCCAGTTCCAATTCCCAGAAATGATTAAAAGTTTCTACCTTACAGTGAGCATCTCCAAAGAGACAGTGGGAATGTGTAGTAGGGATGGGTCCTGTTCCAAATTCCCTAGAGGCAGAGGGTCTCTCAGGGAGGAAGCCAGGAAAGCTGCGGTCTCTGCCTTGAGGGACTGGCAGTGAAGCATGCGTGTCCCACTGGATCCTGTACTTCTAAAAGGGATGATGTGGCCCATAAAATCTTTTTTTGGGGGGAGCATGGACTGCTTGCCTTGGTCTCCCAAAGTGCTGGGATTACAGGCTTGAGCCACTGCGCTTAGCCACAAAATCTTATTCTCAATTTTTCCTCAGGCTCCTCAACTTCACCTCAATGGGATTATGATTAGAGATGTGGAAAGACACCAATGGCCTGACAAGAGTATAAAAAAATGAAGAGCATAATGCCATGAACTGAGGTTAAAAGTCATCAGAATGGCAGGCGTGGTGGCTCACACCTGTAATCCCAGCACTTTGGGAGGCTGTGGCGGGCGGATCACCTAAGGTCAGGAATTGGAGACCAGCCTGATCAACAAGTAGAAACCCCATCTGTACTGAAAATACAAAAATTAGCTGGGTATGGTGGCGAGTGCCTGTAGTCCCAGCGAGTCAGGAGGCTGAGGCAGGAGAATCACTCAAACATGGCAGGTGGAGGTTGCAGTGAGCTGAGATCATGCCATTGCACTCCAGCCTGGGTGACAAGAGCAAAACTTCATCTCGGAAAAATAAAATAAATAAATAAAAGTCATTAGAGACCATGTGTGCAACTTAGTTCAAACTAATTGGAAAGTCTGGCTTACACAGATATGTCCTAAATTCAGAAAGAACACTATAGGACCCATATTGTATCAACTGTGAACATTACTGAGGTGTCAAGAGGGGCAATTCACTCAAAAACTAAAGGGGAAGAATCAATTCAGTTTGCATAGTACATATACAGACAATACCCAAGATATGAATGGAAAAAATTATTACAAATTACAGAACAAACATTCTATGGAATATAACATTAGCAAAAAGAGCACACGTCTTCAGGTTTATGAATTCCAACCAATTATATGTTGATATGAAAGGGAAGCTGCAAATTAAAAAGCATAAAACTGGAGTAAATATGACAAAAATATGAAATGCCTGTATGTTTCCTGAACAGACAAGGTTATTTTCTGGTTCCTTATTCCTTATAAAGGACTTCTCAGGTTTACAATATTGAAATGCACTTCTTAAAGAAATATTTTGCTTTTGAGAGGAATTCTAGGATTTGTTATGTTGTTGATCATTTCTACCAGTGAGACTTGTATCATGAGTTATACGCATTCCTTCATAATTTTTTTTTCTCATATACCAAATGACTCTCAAACTTGTGCATATTTTTATGGACATCCATGAAATGAAAGTCAACAATGTCATGAATTTCATGTCTTTCCAAGATCAATGTTTGGAATAATTCTCCTTTATTAATGTCGTCTTTTACTGATAATTCCATTGATCCCACATGTAGTAGAGCTATCTGAAAGACAAAGAACCACGGGCTTTTGAAAGTTGTAAGATAGGTATTTTATTTAGACAACATAGTATTACAACAAACATAGTATTTACAATGAACGGTTATCAAACTTCTTAACCATGGTGTGCAAATGTTTATAAACACAAAGGAAGTAAGATTTTTCAATAAAGGAAGGGTGATTACATGCACTCAAATTATTTTCAGACAAGCCTAGGTTTAAACGTTCTGTAATCAAAAGTTACAACAGCCTGGAAAGAAGGAGAATTTTTCCACAGGCACTGCAGAACACATACCAACTCACAGTAGACATATGGGTCTCTCACATTTAAGAAGAAATATATATTATTGCCGGGCGCGGTGGCTCACAGGTGGGTGCCTGTAATCCCAGCACTTCGGGAGGCCGAGGCAGGTGGATCACGAGGTCAAGAGATCGAGACCATCCTGGTCAACATGGTGAAACCCCGTCTCTACTAAAAATACAAAAAATTAGCTGGGCATGGTGGCATGTGCCTGTAATCCCAGCTACTCAGGAGACTGAGGCAGGAGAATTGCCTGAACCCAGGAGGTGGAGGTTGCGGTGAGCCGAGATCACGTCATTGCACTCCAGCCTGGCTAACAAGAGCGAAACTCCATCTCAAAAAAAAAAAAAAAAAAAAAAGAAATATATATATTAAAGCTATTTACTGTGTAATTATTATATACAATATTAAGACTGAAAAAATAACAAACCATTATTTTGAATATTTGTTAACAAAACTATACCTAAGTAGAATAGGTATTCCACAACATTAACAATTAGTGGGCTGGGCATGGTGGCTCATGCCTGTAACCCTAGCACTTTGGAAGGCCAAGATGGGTGGATCATTTGAGGTAAGGAGCTTGAAATCAGCCTGGCCAATATGATGAAACCTCATCTATACTAAAAATACAAAAAAATTAGCCAGGCATGGTGGTGGGTGCCTGTAATCCCAGCTACTCAGGAGGCTGAGGCAGGAGAATCTCTTGAACCCAGGTGGTGGAGGTTGCAGTGAGCTGAGATCGTGCCTCTGCACTCAAGCCTGGGTGACAGAGCTAGACTCCATCTCAGAAAATCCAAAAAAAAAAAAAAAAAGACAATTAGTGTACTGCAGTTGTATTCCAGAATATATACAAAAATGAGTCATCTGTTAATAAAAAAATAAATATTTTAATAACCAAGGACAAATACAGCAGTAAATAATAGGAATCCATGTTTATTTTATTATACATACAATCATGGCATTCTAAAGAATTTACCCATAAGAACAAAACAAAGAACTTATACTTCAGAAGGGGCATATAATATGAGAATTGCAAAACATGCTGAGAATCACTGCTTTTAAATAAGAGGTTCAGATAAATAGGTACTGTTATAGAAACTGACAATGCATAATTATGACATCAAAAATGGAGAAGTAAGGGATTCTAAATGAACCTCCCTCTACAAAGTCAGAAAATGAATTTGCAAAAACTGTCAGAATCAACTTTGTAAGAACTTTGGAAATCAATCAAAGGATTCTAGCAACTGGGAGTACTTTTTTTTTTTTTTTTTGAGACGGAGTCTCACTCTGTCACCCAGGCTGGAGTGCAATGGCACAATCTTGGCTCACTGCAACCTCTGCCTCCCAGGTTCAAGCGATTCTCGTGCCTCAGCCTCCTGAGTAGCTGGGATTACAGGCGTGTGCCACTGTGCCCAGCAAATTTTGTATTTTTCGTAGAGACGGGGTTTCAACATCTTGGCCAGGCTGGTCTCGAACTCCTGACCTTGTGATCCACCCACCTCGGCCTTCCAAAGTGCTGGGATTACAGGCGTGAGCCACCTCGCCTGGCCTGGGAGTTCTATTAACCAAGAGAAATACAGCTGTTTTAATTTCTACTGACCCGTATTGCCTCTTCTCCAGCTAAGCAGCCCACAAACCTAGCATAGATTTCCAGACCAGAGGAGTCAGAAGGAACTACACTCAAAACATGTGGTTATGTTTTTATTTGCCTGGGGCTTCCTCAAGGACTGGCTCAAAGGGCTTGCCTTTATTTGGTCTAACTCAGAACTCTACCTAGGTTGAGGTGCTAGCCAAGGGTCCTTTATCAAAAACAGTTAAAGGCGAATATTTTAGCAGCTGCTGCCAAAAGTAAGGGATAACAATTGAGGCAAACACAGATAAACTAACACCTCTGAGGAAATAAAAGTGGAGATTAAGATTATATAGCTATAGTAGTCAAAACAGTATGGTACTGGAATACAAAGAGACACACAGAAGAACAGAAGAGAATCTATACCCCAGAGAAACACCCAAGCATATATAGTCAGCTAACTTCTGCCAAGGCCACCAGGAAGGCAACGTAGAGAAAAGACAGTCTCTTCAATAGATAGTAATGAGAAAACTTGATATCCACATACAAAAGAATGAAACTGGATCCTTATTTTTTTATACCACACACAAAAATAAACTCAAAATGGATTAAAGACAGAAATGTAAAACCTGAAACTGTAAAACTCCTAGAAGAAAAGACAGGGGAAAAACTCCTCAATACTGACCTTGACAATGAATTTTTGAATACCAATCAAAACCTTAGGTAATGAAAGCAAAACTAAACATCAAACTAAAAAGCTTCTGTACAGCAAAGAAAACTATCAACAAAAGAAAAGGTAGTCTAGAGAGTGGGAGAAAATATGTGCAAGTCACATATCTGATAAGGGGTTAGTGACCAAATAATATAAGAAACTCATACAACTCAACAGCAAAAAAAGGAAAAAATAATAATGCAAATATTGGACAAAGAACGTGAATATACGTTTCTCCAAAAAAGACAAATGAATGATCAACAGATACATGAAAAGGTGCTCAACATCACTAATCATCAGGGACATTTAAACTAAAACCATAATGAAATATCGTATTATATACCTGTTAGGAGGACTATTACCAAAAAGGTTAGAGATAAGTGTTGGCAAAGGTGTATAGCAGGAATGCAAATTGGTATAGCCATTATGGAAAAATGCATTAAGTCCCCCGAAAATTAAAAATATAACCACCACATGACCCAGCAATCCCTGTTGGGTATATAACCAATGAAAATGAAATCAGGGGCCAGGCACAGTGGCTCACCCCTGTAATCACAGCACTTTGCGAGGCTGAGGCGGGTGTATCACGAGGTCAGGAGATTGAAACCATCCTGGCTAACACAGTGAAACCCTGTCTCTACTAAAAATACAAAAAATTAGCCGGGCATGGTGGCATGCACCTGTAGTCCCAGCTACTTGGGTGGCTGAGGCAGGAGAATCGCTTGAACCTGGGAGGCGGAGGTTGCAGTGAGCTGAGATCCTGCCACTGCACTCCAGCCTGGGCGACAAAGTAAGACTCCATCTCGACGTGTGCAGAAGTCCTTATAGTCCCAGGGCCTGTTTCCTGTAGCAGCTCCGTATTGCTGGAGAAGAAGAAAAGTGCCCGAGATCCTTTCAGGATATTTGGTTTTTTGGGCGCGACACAAATCGAGGTGAGGGAAGAGAAGAAAATCCCCTGAATCCCTGCAGGATTACTTTATTCAAAAACGAAATAAAAAATACTCAATATGCAAAAGTCTTGTGAAGAAAATGACATGCCAAAGGCAGAGGAAGACCGCCCTTTGGAAGATGTACCACAGGAGGCAGAAGGAAATCCTCAACCTTCTGAAGAAGGTGTAAGCCAGGAAGCAGAAGGAAACCCCAGAGGAGGGCCGACTCAGCCTGGCCAGGGATTTAAAGAGGATACACCCGTTAGGCATTTGGACCCTGAAGAAATGATAAGAGGAGTAGATGAGCTTGAAAGGCTTAGGGAAGAGATAAGAAGAGTGAGAAACAAGTTTGTGATGATGCATTGGAAGCAAAGACATTCACGCAGCCGTCCTTATCCTGTGTGCTTTAGGCCTTGAATTCATTTTTGCCTAATATTAAAATCTGGCCCCAGCTTTCTTTCTGTTAGCATTTTTTGATGTATCTTTGACCTCCATCTTACTTTTAATCATCTGATGAAACTTTGTTTTAGGTAGTTTCCTTAGTTCCAGCATCTCATTGGATTTTGGATTTTGACCCATTTTCCAGGTCTATTTTTCAATTAGAAATTTTCACACATTTGCATGGAAATATGTTCATTTCATATTGTAAAGTAAAGCGTAACAGGTTATGGCAAAGCAGCATATTTAATATCAGCTCACATATGTAGGATAAAATTCCAAACTTCGTGTGTGTGCGTGTGTGTATGCATACATCCATATAACATATATCAAAAACTTAACCTTAAGTTTATTTCTGTGTGCTGTGAAGTTTTATTGGTTTTCTTCTTTTTTTTCTTTTTGCTTATATGTATTTTTTAATGAACATGTGTCTCGCACAAAAAAAAAAAAAAAAAAAGACTCCATCTCAAAAAAAAAAGAAAAGAAAATGAAATCAATGTTATACAGATATCTGCACTTCCATGTTCACAGCAGCATTATTCACAATAAACAAGATATGGCAACAACCTACATGCCCACTGATAGATGAATAATGAAATTGCAGTATACTGTAATATGTCATGGAATAGTACTCAGCCTCAAAACAGGAGATACCGCCATTTGTGACAACATAGGTGAACCTGATAGACCTTACACTAGGTGAAATAAGCCAGACACAGAAAGAAAAATGGTGCATCTCTTACATGTGGAATCTAAAAGGAGTTAAACACAGAGAGTAGAATGGTAGTTACCAGAGGCAGGGAAGGGGAGGAAATGAGACGATGTTGGTCAAAGTGTGCAAAGTTACAGTTACATGTGTTGAATAAATCTAGAGAGCTCATGTACAGCAGGAAGATTATAGTTAATAATATTGCATACTTAAAATTTGCTGAGAGAGTAGATTTTAGGTCCTCTTACCACAACAAATTTAAAAAGTATGTGAATTGACATGTTAATTTGCTTGACTATAATAATCATTTCACTATGTATAGGTACATAAAAACATCATGTTGTACACCTGAAATATATAAATTAAAAAATCACACAAAATTGAGAGAAATAAACAAACAAATACAACAGCAATCAACCAGTAACAACAGCAAACCCTGGGGAAAAGAAAGATGATTATTTCCAAAGTTTTGACATAGTCAGAAAGGCCATTTTTAACAACAAGCTACAAGACAAGGGAAGCAAAGCAAAAATAAACTATTAGCTATACAGAAGAAAAATAAACTAGTAGAAATTGTCTGTATGTTGGACTTGCTAAATACTTTTAATAAGTTATTTTAAACATGGCTAAAAAGCTAAAGGAAATAATGAACAAAAAATTAACAAAAACCAGAACAAAATTTAAAAATAAAAAATATCAGGCCAGGTGTGGTGGCTCAAGCCTGTAATCCCAGCACTTTGGGAGGCCGAGGCGGGTGGATCACGAGGTCAAGAGATCGAGACCATCCTGGTCAACACGGTGAAACCCCGTCTCTACTAAAAATACAAAAAACATTAGCTGGGCATGGTGGCATGTGCCTGTAATCCCAGCTACTCAGGAAGCTGAGGCAGGAGAATTGCCTGAACCCAGGAGGCGGAGGTTGCAGTGAGCCAAGATCGTGCCATTGCACTCCAGCCTGGGTAACAAGAGCAAAACTCCGTCTCAAAAAAAAAAACTACACGATCGAAAACATTCAACACAGGGTCATCTACATACAAGTGCCAGATATTACATTCCACCTGCCAAATGCAGTCTAATGACTAGATGAGCAGCTGAAGCATGAAGGGTGTCTTCAGGGATGACAAAGTCCATGGGAGCTTTAAAGAAAGGTGGGAACTAAAAAATGGGATGATGACAGTAACAGTAAGAACTAGAAGTTTTGAAGACTTCCCATGTGGTAGGCGCTACGCTGAATGCTTCACAGTGCTAACTCATAAAACAGCATTCAAGTAGAGAAAGATCTGATCTCACCTTATGGAGGACCTGACTCTGTCACAGAGACTTTAAGGAACTTGCTTTGTGTCAAATCACTAATAAATGGCAGCACCAGCACCTGAACCAGGTGGTCAGACTTTAGAGTTGAATCTACAGCATCACATGGTTTGGCAACAGATACAGTATTAAAAAGTACTTTGTGGGAGTCTGAGATGGGAGGATTGCTTGAGCCCAGGAGACTGAGGTTACAGTGAGCTTTGATTGTGCCACTGCACTCCAGCCTGGGTGATAGAAAAAAAAAAAAATTACTTTGACAAAGTTTTCTAACTGAGAAAACCTGAAACAGGCTCAAGACTAAAACACAGAACCAGATAAAAGGTAAATATAGCCATACAATGAAATACTATTCAGCAATGAAAATAAAAACAACTGAAGCAACATAGATGAATTTTATAATGTTGAGTTAAAGAAGGTAGATATAAAAATATCACATTAGGGCCGGGCGCGGTGGCTCAAACCTGTAATCCCAGCACTTTGGGAGGCCGAGGCGGGTGGATCACGAGGTCAAGAGATCGAGACCATCCTGGTCAACATGGTGAAACCCCGTCTCTACTAAAAATACAAAAAATTAGCTGGGCATGGTGGCGCATGCCTGTAATCCCAGCTACTCAGGAGGCTGAGGCAGCAGAATTGCCTGAACCCAGGAGGCGGAGGTTGCGCTGAGCCGAGATCGCGCCATTGCACTCCAGCCTGGGTAACAAGAGTGAAACTCCGTCTCAAAAAAAAAAAATATATATATTACATTACATTATTCCATTTATATAAGGTTTAAAAGTGGCAAAATAAATTTGACAGGGCACAGGATAAGGCTTAGAGCGGAGATGAGGGGGTAGTAACTGCTTGGTGTTCAGTTGTTGGGCAGTTTTGTTTTCCGATCTGGATGGTAGGTACACAGTTGTGACCACTTTGTAAAAAATGTATTGATTTACATATATGCATATTCAGCACTTACCTTACATTTCTATTTAAAAGTATATTGAAAAATAAATGCCAGCTGTTTTAAGCAACATAAAAAAAAGGTAAATATATCTGCATGCACAAATATAATGAATTACTAAGCTTAATGCTATTAAACCATTAACATGGTAGTACAGGTAGAATTTTAAGGCCATGGAAAACATAGGAAGTATATTTAAAGAGTAAAATAATTCCAAAATTTATTTATGAAACGATGTATTTTATTTTTTATTTATTTTTGAGACAGCATTTCGCTCTTGCTGCCCAGGCTGGAGTGCAGTGGCACAATCTCGCTCACTGCAACCTCTGCCTCTGGGTTCAAGCAATTCTCCTTCCTCAGCCTCCTGAGTAGCTGGGACTACAGGCGCATGCCACCATGCCCAGCTAAGTTTTTGTGTTTTTAGTAGAGACGGGGTTTTACCATGTTAGCCAGGATGGTTTCGATCTCCTGACCTCGTGATCCACTCACCTTTGCCTCCCAAAGTGCTGGGATTACAGGCATGAGCCACTGTGCCCGGCCAAAACAATGTATTTTAAACACACCAGCTCACATACATTCATGAGGGTGTGCACACACATGCACTGATTAATTTAAATAAAAGTAGTTGTCTCTAAATGACATGCTTTGGTTTTTGTTTTGAAACAGAGTCTCGCTCTGCCACCCAGGCTGGAACACAGTGGCACAATCTGGGCTCACCACCACCTCTGCCTCCACACTCAAGCAATCCTCCTGCCGTAGTCTCCCAAGTAGCTGGGATTACAGGTGCGCACCACCATGCTTGGCTAAATTTTGTATTTTTATTAGAGATGATGGTTTCGCTATGTTGCCCAGGCTGGTCTCGAACTCCTGGTCTCAAGTGATCCACCCACCTAGGCCTCCCAAAGTGTTGGGATTACAGGCATGAGCCACCATGCCCGCCTCTAAATGACATACTTTGGGGATAAATTTTCATCAGCTATCATTTTTTATTTATGTGCATTTTAGCATTTTTAGTATAATGAATATATATAAATTGCACTTAATTTAAATAATACTATCAATATCGCTTTATATTTGTGTAATTTTAAAAATGCAAAAAAAAAAAAACCAAAAAAAACATGAATTCTGATCTCCTTTCAATACATATAGTAAAACAATGAGAGGGACTCTGGGGGGAGATGAGAGGAATCTGAGGGAAGGCACTGAGTGTGAGCCAATGTGTTAGGCAGATCACTGCAGAGTCAGAGATCTTCAAGTCCAAACAGGACAAATCAGGACAGACAGGGTAGAACGATCAACTGAGAACATGACCTTACCTGAGAGAGAATCATTCCTGACTCCCTGTTCCTTTCTCTTCTTCCTCCCCTGGACTGCTTTCTTAGGCAAGATGAGTCTCAAAACTACAATCCTGAGTGTGGAGAGTATGCTGTTTAACACTGAGAGTCAACATGCCTCATCACTGTGCCACAACCACACACGCAGACAGGACCTCAACATGTGGAAAAGATGTTCCTCTGCTGCCCACTGCCAACAGGAGGAATTCAGGAGCAAGAAACTCCTACATGGAACCAACACATGAACTATTTTACTCCTGTCTTCAGAACTCAGGTCTCTCCTGATGCAGCCCACAGTGAGAGCAGGGCTAGATGGAGCTCCTCTTCAAGGTACAGAGCTGTCCTTGATCCAGCCCCATGCCAAGGAGGGCACCATTCCCCCCTCCCAATCTCTCCCTGGATACAGGGCTGGTTTCAGGCTTCAGAAATGGGGGACTCAGCACCTCCATGCTCAATGCTAAATAAAGACAGGAATCACGTGAAGCTTTTTTTTTTTTTTTTTTTTTTGAGACGGAGTCTCAATCTGTCACCCAGGCTGGAGTGCAATGGTGCGATCTTGGCTCACTGCAACCTCTGCCTCCTGGGTTCAAGGGATTCTCTTGCTTCAGCCTCCCGAGTAGCTGGGATTACAGGCGCCCACCACCATGCCCGGCTAATTTTTTGGTGTTTTTAGTAGAGACAAGGTTTCACCATGTTGGCCAGGCTGAACTCCTGACCTCAGGTGATTCACCTGGCTCGGCCTCCCAAAGTGCTGGGATTACAGGCGTGAGCCACCTCGCCCAGCCACGTGAAGCATTTTCACCATCACTGAGACTGCATTCCATTCCCCTTGACCATTTGAAGGAGAATCTCTGGGAATGGGCACAAAAGAGGCATCTGCAAAATGCCTCAGCAATCCAATGTGAACCCAAGGTTAAGCCACCTAGAGAAGGGAAGCTCAGCAGATCTCGATGTTGGGGATCAGTTCTTTCTGGGGATTTGCCTCCTGTATCCAGAAAGCGGAAAGAGACAAAGTAGAGAAACACGCACAGCAGGGATTTTAGGCTAGGGGAGGGGGAAGGGGGTGTGGCTAGAATGTTAAATGGGAGGGCCAGAGAAGCCTCCCGTGAGGCGATTATCAGAACCTCACATAAGTGGAATCAGACAAATATTTGCCCTTTTGCATGTGGCTTATTTCACTTAGCATAATGTCTTCCTTCACTTAGCAGGGATAAGCCCAAGCTTCGCCCATGTTGTATGATATTTCAGAATTTCCTTCCTTTTTAAAGCTGAATAATGTTCCACTGTATGTATATATCATATAACCATTCATCCATCAATGGACATTTGGATTGCTTCTTTTAGCTGCTGTGAATAACACTGCTATGAATGTAGGTATACAAATATCTGTACGAGTTTCTATTTTCAACTCCTTTGGGTACATACCCAGAAACTGCTGAATAATATGGTATTCTACGCTTAATTTTTAAAGGAAATTGCCATACTATTTTCCACAGATTGCTGCATTATTTTACATCCCCATCAGCAGTGCACAAGGGATTCAACTTACCCACATCCTTGCCAACATTTATCTTCTTTTTTGATGATAGTAATCCTAAGTGGTATCTCACTGAGGTTTTGATTTGCAATTCCCTAATGATTAGTGATGCTGAGCATCTTTTCATGTTCTTACTGGTCATCTGTATATGTGCTTTGGAGAAATTTCTATTCAAGTCTATTGCCCTTTTTTTTTTTTTTTTTTTTTTTTTTTTTTTTTTTTTTTAAATTGTGGTTTTTGGTGTTTTTGATTTTTGTTTTTCTTTTTTTTTTTTTTTTTTTCATTTTTTGCCTATTTTTAAATTGTGGTGTTTGGTGTTGTTGACTTGAGGACTTCTTTATATATTCTGAACATTAATCCCTTATCAGATATATGATTTGCATATATTTTCTCCCATTCTGTGGGTTGCCTTTTCACTCTATTGATAGTGTTCTTTGATGCACAAACGTTTTTAAATTTGATGAAGTCAAATTTGTCTATATTTGCTTCTGTTGTCTGTGCTTTTCACTGTCATATCCAGGAGCCTAGATTTCTCCTGAGGGTGACAAGAAGCCAGTGGAGAGTTCAATGGCAACAAGTGATGTTATCTGACTTCAGATTTACTCCTGATGCATGGAGAGAACTCTTGAGAGACAGTTTTTCTATCCTAGTTTTTTTTTTTTTTTTTTTTTTTAACATTATTGTTGGGCTCAAACCCATTTAAGCTTCCAATTTCAAACTGGTGTCTTTCTTGCAGAAAAATTCTACACAGACATACACTTCATTTTGCCAATCACTTCAGGAATCACTGTCTCTCAGACTCAGAATTCCTGGCTTCATCCATCACTTCCACGTTGAATGTGGGTTCTGTGAGTTCCAGAAAGGAAGTCAAATCATTTCACCAAGTTACCCTGAGAACATCCGAGTTGAGTAAGCAGAACCATATGTAACTGAATTTCGAAAGGGTGGACATAATGAGGCAGTAAGCAGAGTTTGTTCTTGTCATTTCCTTTCCAATTAAAAAATTCCAGGGTCATCTTTCATATGCTTGAACAAAACAAACTTTTTCATGATGATAATATTTATCCCAAGCATTTACTTCTTTAATACCAGTGAAATACTTCAAAACTCTAAAATCATGAACACACAGATTTTGGGTCAGAAAACTCTGAAAGATGGTTTCAGCTAGGAAAATAAACTGAGAATATTTTTTCACCATAAATAGATGGGCTCTGTTGCAATAACAAGCAAAATTAATCCAGTCCATCCTTCAACATTTCCAGAGAAAGGCAAGATAGACTTGAATGGAACATCTACTTTGCAGCTCACAACCCACTAATTTAACAAATCTCATTAAAGGAAGACAAGAAGCTATTGGATACTAGACTAACTCAACTAGATTCTGATGTTAAGATCATGGACATCCTTACCAAATACATACTGAAATAATCTAAAATCATTTACTATGTCATAAAGAATGTCTCCAACATATGATAAAGAGTAGAAAGAATACAGGGCTTCTAATCTGAACCAGATACAGTATATTAAAAAGAAAAAACAATTTGGAAAAAAATGGTTTTAACCTAATGACCTCTGAGGTCAAAGTAAAAACAAAAACAAACAAAAACTGAGGCTACCTCATATTTAGAAAAGAAAAGCACGAACTGGTTACAGGATGCCAGCAAATCTTATTTCAGAAGTCAATGACTATTTGTGGAAAATAAATTAAGAAATTCAATAAAGTAAGATTTATCTCAATATGCTTGAAAAAGAACAATGAATTCATGTAAGGCAAATCCCCCCAAAAGGGAATTCATTCAAAGAAAAAAAATACAACACTTAATATTCCTTTTAAAAGGTAGTAAGGCAGACTCATTAATTTATTGTCCCATTTCACCTCCCGCTTCCCATGCCAGGAAAAGGGAAAAGAGAAACTCACAAACGGACTGATCCAAGTCTCTATCCTCGGGCTAGAGACTGCAGAAGGAACTGATCTTCTGACGCAAATAACTATAAAATGCACACGCCTTATAGAAAGTAGTTTAGCAATTTTCATTCTCATCTGCAGAAACAAGCAATTTTTAAATAGATTATAAAGCGCAAATCAATACATCACAATTTCTATCATCCTTATCTCACCAATACCCATTCATTAGGATCTGGGTTCCTTTCCACCTCCACTGTGTTCATGGCTATGTCTTTACTACATGTTTTTCTCCTCTGTTTATCTTTTCCCGTGTTTTCCCACCTCTCAGATTTTGCTTATTTCCCTTCTTTCCTCCGCTTCTCTTTCTCTTCTTCTATTTCTTTTCCTACATATGCTACGCCTCACTCTTGAAACCTGTTTTACTTTCTGTTGCATTCATCCAATCTTTTTTTTTTTTTTTTTTGAGACGGAGTTTCGCTCTTGTTGTCCAGGCTGGAGTGCAATGGCACAATCTTGGCTCACTGCAACCACCGCCTCCCGGGTTCAAACGATTCTCCTGCCTCAGCCTCCCTAGTAGCTGGGATTACAGGCATGCGCCACCATGCTGGTCTAATTTTGTATTTTTAGTAGAGTCGGGGTTTCCCCATGTTGGTCAGGCTGGTCTCGAACTCCCGACCTCAGGTGATCCACCCACCTCCGCCTCCCAAAGTGCTGGGATTACAGGCGTGAGCCACTGCGCCCGGCGTCACCCGAATCTTTTTTATTGTCCCTCATCTCCACATATTTCTTCACCTCCTCCTGCTACATTCTGTCTTTCCCTGTGGCATCCCTTCTGCCCCATCCTATGGCACTCCCAGGTCACGAAGCTTGCTCCCTTTGTTTCTCCCTCTGCTCTGTCACCCCTGCCCCCTTCTTTCTGTCCCTGCACCCAGCTCCTCCAACTCTTTTCTCTCTCTCCCATGCTATCTCCAATTCTGCCAACCAAGGGCTCCTCTCCCCATCTTGGTTCCCTTCATCTCTCTGGAGATCCTACCTTGTCTATTCATAGATTTCTCAATTTTCTTTCCTCGCCCCTACCCCACTACTTTCCCTAGCTCTTTGCTCTTCCTGCCTCTTTGCTGGAGCCTCCCACATCTTCTGTTTTGCAGCCTCTCTGTGGACATTGATCTTTTCTCTCTCCCTGTTTTTCCTTTGCTCCCTCGGTCTCCCTCCCTCTCTTTCACCAAATCACCGTCGTTCCCTCATCCCATTCACACGGATGGAGTAAGAGGTCAGCTATGCAGGATAGCACACTTTTCACTGGCATGGAATTTAGGACTGGGTGCCACGAGGGCAGGTCGCCTCCCACACAGGGATCACAGGTCTCTCGGAAGCCGTGCCTGGGGAGGCTGGGAGGGGCCTGAGGATTGGAGGGGAGGAGTGAGGACTCAGGAGGGAGGTGAGCGCGGCGGAAACCCACGGAACGCATCCGCCGTCCCAGGGCTGCGCCAGGAACGGCGCATCCGGTGCTGTACCCTGAGGGTCGAGGGGCGAGGCTTGAGGGAGAGACAGGCGCTAAGCGTTTGAATCCACCTCACAAATCCCTCTGCCAAGACTTTAAACGGCGTGGGGCAGGCAAGGAGGTCGGTGGGGTGTTTTAAGCAGGAAAAAAACAAAAACCAAAAAACAAAACGCAGCGAGCGGCAGCTAGCGCGCCCAAAGACAGTAAAGAGCAGAGGCGACCTCGGAAAGTTTTAACCGGAAACAAACACGGACCTCCCTCCCCCCTCCACGACCCGGCAGCAAGGGGTCAGGTTCTGAGCGTCTTGCGGCGACCTCGGGACTTACCGCGGGAAGCACGCGCGGGTGCGGGGATTTTAACGTTTGCAGCAACCCTAAACTTGGGGTGTGCAGGACGACGGACTGAGAAGGGAAGGTTTAAACAAGAAAGAGGGAAAGTAACTGCAGGTGCAACCGCCGCTCCCGGCTATTCACTTCCGGGTCTGCAGGAAACTGCCTGTCTGCTGCTGGAGGGGCGGGGCAGCCTGAGGCGGAAGTGGGGCTGGGGTGGAGCAGGGGCGGGGCAGGGATGGGGGGAAAAGGGCGGGGCTCGGCCCGAAACGGGTGGGGCGTGGAGCGGGACCTGGTTTGAACTGGGGTCGTCAGCCTCTGCAGGGCTGGGCCCAGCGGAGCGGGACCCGAACGGAGCCCAGTCCGTACCTGCTTCCCATACCATTGCTTTCAGTCCATCTTTTTCTTCCCTGTTTAGAACTAATTCTGTTTGAGCCCATGAAGCAGCATGGCCTCCTATTTTAATGCTTGAAACAGGTTAAGATAAAAATTTAGAGTTTTATGGGCCACTTCTGTTGAAAGCTAAGATGATAAGTTTTAACAAAGTGAAAACTGTTTTGGTCAAAAACTTTTTTTTTTTTTTTGAGACGGAGTTTCACTCATGTTACCCAGGCTGGAGTGCAATGGCGCGATCTCGGCTCACCGCAACCTCCGCCTCCCGGGTTCAGGCAATTCTCCTGCCTCAGCCTCCTGAGTCGCTGGGATTACAGGCACGCACCACCATGCCCAGCTAATTTTTTGTATTTTTGGTAGAGACGGGGTTTCACCACGTTGACCAGGATGGTCTCGATCTCTTGACCTCGTGATCCACCCGCCTCGGCCTCCCAAAGTGCTGGGATTACAGGCTTGAGCCACCGCGCCCGGCTGGTCAAAAACTTTTTGCAACGGTTGGACACACGAGTCCTGCCACTGAGGCGAGCAGGACTCAGCGGTCTGGGAACCTGGAGCTTGGTGGGAGGTCATAGGAAGGCGATGGTTGCATCCTGGGATGTCTCCCCCAGTTAGAATTTAATTTAAACGATTTAAGGACTGCAGTCGTCTGTATCCGATACAAACTGGAATGTGAAGTACAAAATTCTACGTGCCGAATGTGCCATTCCTCGGTGACACGCATCAGAACACCATTTCCTTGGTTGTGCCTCATGCACCCTGGAAACAGAGACTCAATTTTTTGCTTAACTTTAGAGACTCTCATGAGGACCAGATCTGCAGCGGATGGTAGACAGACTCGTGAAGCATGTGATGTAACCAAGCATTGCTGTTTTTAAAAAGCAATGACTTTTTAAAAATAGATATAAAGTGTGTTGTTCTTTATAAATGTGTTATTTAATTTTAATTTTATTTTTAATTCTTAACAGTGGCTTTAAGTGAATGCTTAAAAGTATTCAATATTAAGGCCGGGCGCGGTGGCTCACGCCTGTAATCCCAGCACTTTGGGAGGCCGAGGCGGGTGGATCACGAGGTCAAGAGATCGAGACCATCCTGGTCAACACGGTGAAACCCCGTCTCTACTAAAACTACAAAAAATTAGCTGGGCATGGTGGCGCGTGCCTGTAATCCCAGCTACTCAGGAGGCTGAGGCAGGAGAATTGCCTGAACCCAGGAGGCGGAGGTTGCGGTGAGCCGAGATGGCGCCATTGCACTCCAGCCTGGGTAACAAGAGGGAAACTCTGTCTCAAAAAAAAAAAAAAACAAAGTATTCAATATTAAATTCAATTTACTTCACATTGTTTGCAAATACATCATCAATTCTTACGTATTTCAAATCAACTTCAAGTACAGAAGGCTTGCTCTCAAATAAGTCTTCTGAGGTGATATAAAGACTGAAAGAAGCCTATGACTTGAGTCCAAGTCTCTAACCAACAATGATCATATTTGAGATGAATGATAAAACTTACATGCTTTTGAAAACTGTATAGTGTGATATTTGTTATTAATTCACTTGTTACTAATTTTTAAATATAATTACAAAGTCACTTTACATTTATCCAAGAGTAATCAAAAATAATATTTTATTTAAAACTGTATATATATATATGGCTCTTTCGTTTGTTTTCTGTTTCTTAATGTTCAGTCAGTCAGGTTTGGATAACAAACCCTGTAACATATGTACTCTAGAAGACCGTTGACTTTGTTTTTACCTGAGGAATAATTTTGCAATAGTGCCAGGGATGTTTGATAGGAATGTCTATGCACTTTTATACGAACCCTAAGGAAAGTAAAACTAGATGATCAAATTTCCAATAGTCTCATTTCTACCATCAATCATCTTTAAGGCAATGTCTGTAAGTTAAAATCTGTGCAATATGTTTCTCTCATATCCCTACATATGGAAGGTTTCTCTCCAGCAAGAATTCTTTGAGGAAATAAAGGGGTTTTGAATAAAAAGCCTTTTCACATATATTAGATTTATGAGTTCACTGCAGTATACATTATGTGATGTTTCGTAAGGCATTGGTCACAGGCTTTTCAATGTTCATAATATTTAAATAATCTGATAGTGGTAAAGCTGGAATGTCATCACTCATAAAATCTGTATGATTTTATTTTTAAAATTAATATTCTGATGATTCCTAAAGATTGAATTTTGGATAAGAACTTCGCTACACACAGAATATTTTTAAGGTTTCTCTCAAGTATTTTATTGACCTTTAGTTCAGTTTGACTCTTGGTTAAATATGTTGTCCCAGTTATATAATTTTAAGGTCTCTTCCAGTATAAATTTCTGATGATTAGTGAAGATTCACTGTCTGAAGGCTTTCCAAATTTATTACATTTATGAAGTTTTTCTCTACTATGTACAGTGTCATATTTTTGTTATTAACAAAAAATGGGTCAAAATCTTCCTATCATTATTGAAAATGTTAATTTTGACAGAGTAGGAGTCCAAGGTGGGCAGATCACCTGAGGTTCGGAGTTCAAGACCAGACTGACCAACATGGAGAAACCCAGTCTCTACCAAAAATACAAAATTAGTTGGGCCTGGTGGCATATGCCTATAATCTCAGCTACTTGGGAGGCTGAGTCAGAAGAATCGCTTGAACCCAGGAGGTGGAGGTTTTAGTAAACCGAGATCGTGCCATTGCACTCCAGCCTGAGCAACAAGAGTGAAACTCCATCTCAAAAATAAAAACAAACAAAAAAAACCCTACCATTAATTTATGTACCTTTCTTACCAGTTATTTTCATTCAGAGCGAATGTTGAGACATTTAAGAGATTAGCACCAGTAGGAAAGCACTTCCTACCCTAGGGCTGGAGGGTAATGGGGCAGATGGAGCCCAGCAGCCAGAGCTTTTAGCCCAGCAGCCAGGCCTGTCCACTGGAGCTGGGATCATGGAGGATAACTTCTCAGAGGGTACTGGAGTCCTGGAGAAGATGCATCTCCTGACAGCATCCACCTGAGGCACAGCAAGAGAAAAAGAAATACCCTGGCACCTTCCCTCCTCTTTATTCTCTACCAGTATCTGTAGGTGCTGAAACTCAGCCAGATGCTAGCAGGCTGGGAAGCATATGAAGCCTGCGTCCCTGCTGACCACAGCAGAACAGGTGACAGGCAGACAATGGGTCTACAGGCTCAGCCTCTAAGAACAAAGAATCGCTGCCATTAAATTTAATTTGCAAAATAAACATTACAAAAATGCTTTAATGAGAGCCGCATGTTAGACAGACATTAGTTACATAAACTCAAAGCTGTTTCCAGGCTGGGCAAGGTGGCTCATGCCTATAATCCCAGCACTTTGGGAAGCCAAGGCGGGTGAACCACCTGAGGTGAGAATTTCAAGACCAGCCAGGGCAATGTGGCAAAACCCCATCTTTACTAAAAATACAAAAAATAAGCTGGGCATGGTTGTGGGTGCCTATGATTCCAGCTACTCAGAGGCTGAGCCAGGAGAATCTCTTGAACCCAGGAGGTGGAGGCTGCAGTGAGCAGAGTTTGTGCTGCTCTGCTCTGGCCTGGGAGACATAGCGAGACTCTGTCTCAAAAAAAGAAAAAAGCTATTTGGAAATTCTTTCCATTTGTCCTGAGTGGTTTGGCAAATTTTCTTGCTTTGCTTACATGGCTATCTTTTGACAGACTCTTTTGCCTGTTGTAAATACAAATCAAAAACAAATTTTATATATTTCTCCCTGACGTAAAGAGGGAAAGAGATATTTCCCCCTCCCTTTTCTCAGAGCATTTACTTGAGAAAACTTGTAAAAATAATTTTTTTCCCTGTCTCTTTTAAGAAGTATGCAAACCTTTTCAAAGGCTATTAAGCTTCTTGACAGTTTTACAACCCAGGAAGTTTTTCTCTAGCACTTGGGCAGTACGTTTTTGAAATGTAATCAGGAAGACAGTACCCTAATCTCCCAGTTTCTGTGGGAGAAAAGGAGCCTAACTTTCTCAAGCGCCTGAATCCAAGTTGCAAAATAGCCACCAGTCTTAAAGATAGGAGTTTTCTTTTGCTTTGGATAAAAAAATTAGAAAATACAAAAGACCACTTCAATTGCCAAATGCATTTAGGTTTAATGATGTAGGACAAATAGTGCTGTCAAATCTTAATTGGTGCTAATTATTCTTTGTCTTGAGGACATGTACCTAATGTGTTGTTAATTGCTTGGCTACATAAAATGTGGACTGACTATGATGCATATCACAGTGGGGATTTATGCTCATTCAATAATAGAACTTTTTTTTTCTTTTTTAAGACGGGGTTTCACCATGTTGGTCAGGCTGGTCTTGAACTCCCGACCTCAGGTGATCCGCCCGCCTTGGCCTCCAAAGTGCTTAGATGACAGGCGTGAGCCACCACGTCCGGCCTAGAACTTTCTTTTTTTCTATCTTTTTGAAGAGGAATTTCTTGGTTGCTAGATATTGTTTTTAATTCTATTTCCCCAACAGTGTATGTCAGTGACAATTTACAATACAAGCTCACCACCTGGTGGGTATATTTTATTGCTCAGTCTTCCAGACCCTTGCTACTCTTGAGGAAAAAGAAATTGAGATCCAAAGGAACACACCCATTTACAAAGATAGAATCAGCTAAATTTATTATTGTGGGGTTGTGGCTGCGGGAGGGGACCTTGAAAGCAAGTAGGTACCCCGCAAATGGCTACAAAGCTTTGGTAGATTTTCAACTCCATTTATACAGAATTCAAGTG